GTATACACACACACACACACACATATATATATATATATATATATATATATAATGGAACCACCTTTGTTGATTAATTAAGATTGCATCTTTGGTTGTGTTATGCTGCACTAGTCACAGTTGCCAGATATGTAATCATAATATACCATACACAGAAACATACTCCTATATTAAAAGCCAATTTTATTATCAATTCAAATATCATGCAAAATGAAGAATGACATTCACTTATGCATCAACATTCAAATATTCCTTAGATCATGACACCATATGATATAAACTCTGACATTCAAATCTATATCGACAGCAAAGATGGTAATCGCCCTCCCATATAGACAGATACCGTCAGATTATAAGTTTTTGTATATTAAACACTGACAAATGCTTCTCAACAAATTACATTATTTATTACTACACGCACTGCTTTACCAATAGCCAGAAGTGGTCAGCGCCCTCGCGCACGGAAAACGAACCAAATCCAATGCCGTCGAGGATGTGCATATACACAGGGAAGAGATTCTCGGACGCGGGGTGCAGATTTGTCAGGTGTTGGGTCCCGGAGATTCGAACCCAGCGGGCAACGTACATGGTAGGGTTTGCTTGACCTTGGGATAGCATGTGCATTTATATGTAGGTAGAATTATGTTGATACAGGAAGGTTTAGCAGTGAACTTTTGATTGATTATGCACTGGCGTATATGTGGCATTCTCTGCGGATAACCTTTCCTTGTATAGTGTATCTTGCAGTGCGTCGTATGTATGAAAGACAGTAGATGTATAGATACATGCACACACATATATACTATCTGTCTGTTTGTCTGATCTGTGTTTTTGGTTTTGTATAGGTATATGTACGTACCCATACGGCCGGATTAACATACGCCTGAAGACACGGGATGGTATACATGATCTTTTTCAAATGGATGTCCATCGATCAACACTTACCTATAATGCGGTTATTCTTTTAAACAGAGTGAGTTTTAGAACATAAACAGTTGCATACCTTAATCGCTGATATATCGTTCTTGATTTTGGTATTAAATATGGCACTGCGTTTATGCGAATAATTATCTTGCATGTGGACTTGAGGGGTCTATTACTGTACATTCGCATATGCAAATAACGACGACAACAAAAACGAACACGTATATTCATGTGCAGTCTCACTACGAATGAGGGGCTTACAATGAACTCTAACCAAATAAACGTTGAATACGTATGTGGTTACTGAGATCAATATATCAGTGCACGAGCTTTATCGACAGAGAGGCTCTATATTATGCTGTTCCGAACTGTAGTCCTACAGCACAGTACACAGGAGTACAATACTTTAGACCGCACTAAGGTACCATCCACCATTTAGTGCACTACACAATAGGTACCTGCGGCGAGTCCTGTGTCTGGATTTCGGATACGCGTTTCTTCGGAGAATTAGGTCTTTCCGTGTCTAACCCATCTGCTGATTGTACACCACGCGTGTACTTCACAGAATTACATCACACGGAAAGCGCGGAGGTAATCAATCGCATTCATACGGTGCTCGCATACTTATTGCACAGGGGGCGTGGTGCTGAAGTTGGCTGAGTCTGCAGGGTACTTGGCAGTGGCAAGACATTGCAATGCAAACAGAACAGGTATGACGTACAGCTGGAGCAACGCTATCCATTGGCTGTAGAATAACTAGAATGGTAAATCCAAAGACGTTTAAAGAAAACGTTGTTTCAGAGTGCACATATCGGAGTATTTATTTATATTTACACACACACACACATGTATATAC